CCCCGCCCCGCCCCTTGCACACGCTTTGAGGTACCCACTCACCCAGCGTCGCTTGGGGCACCCAATCTTGTGCCGGCCAGGCACGCGGCACACCTTGATCAAATCAAACCGAGCCCTGTGTCACCCCGCTGAGCTGTCACACCGCGCCCCTCGCGGCACCACCTCGCCCCGCCCCCGGCCCCGGCCTGCGCCCCGCCCCGCAGCTCCCGCCTGGAGGCGCGTGCGTCTGAGCTGGCGCTGGAGGGTGACAGCCTGGGGCGCGGCCTCAAGGCGGCGGCGGGGGCGCGGGAGAAGGCGCTGGTGGAGCACGACGCGCTGAAGCTGCAGGTGCTTCCAGATTGGGTGGCCGCGGGTGCTGCGGGGCGCGCGATCCCTCCGTCCAGACGCACCGCAAAAGCCTTTGCACCACACCATCCACCACACAAGTCTTTGACTTGGCGTCCAGCGTGCAAAGCTTCCCGATTTCTATGGAGATGTGCCCTCCCTTTGCCGTGTGGGACGCGCGCGCACACGCCGCCATGAGCAGGGGGCCTGCGGCACGTCTGGAGGGGCGTGGGTCGTGCAGCAGGGAGTGCGCGCTGCGGCGCGGCCTAGGCCCGCTGGGAGATGCGCACTCCCCACGGCCGCGCTTCCTCTGTTGTGCAGGGATCCTCACAGTACGCGCAACTAAAATCAGCAAACGTATCACGCCCAACATCCCCTCCCCTCTCCACCCTGCACGCCCGCCCGGGCTTGCGGCCCAGGTCAAGCGCCTGCGCGGGCTGCTGTCCATGGCGGCCGACGAGGTGACGTCACTGGAGGCGCGCAAGGCGGCGCTGAAGCTGGGGCTGGAGGAGCGGCGCGCAGAGGTGGAGCTGCACAGGTGATGGTGGGGGGTGGGGTGGGGAGTGTGGGGTGGTGGTGAGGGGTCGGTGCACTTTGTGTGTGTGTGTGTGTGTGTGTGAGTCCGTGCGTGTGTGCATGCGTGCGTGCGTGTGTGTGTGCGTGCATGGATGTGTGTGTAAGGGGGGGGCGTGTGTGTGTGAGGGCAAGATGTCAGGGGGCCGGGTGGCGGGAGGGCGGGGGAAACCTGTTGCAACTCGCGCCCTGCAGCCAGTAGTTTTTCTTGTCATTCGGCTTTTGGACCTTGCCCATCACCACCACCAGCCCCATCCGCTCATGTGTGCAGGCGCGCAGACGTGCATGCATGCATGCACCCAAACACGACCGACTGGGAGACCTTGAACGCGCCCTCGCACGCATGCCCTCACCCGAGTAACGCATCCACACACCCGCATGCGCACGCACGACCACACACACGACCACACACACGACCATGCGCCATGCATGCGTGCGCGCTCATGCAGGCATGGCAGCGCGCAAAGCCTGTCCCCACGACGACATGCATGCCGGCACTTAAGCCCCCTGTCCCACCCACCCACACATGTACTCACGCATGCATCCACAAACGCACACTTACAAGCACTCTCAAACTCACAAACACTCACACATACACATGTGTGTGTTTGTGTACGTCAACAACCACACTCGCTCTACTCCACCCCCACCTCCAGGGATGCCCTGAGGAGCGAGCTGCGTCTGGTCAAGGAGGACCTGCACCGCGTCACACTGGAGCTCAGGGACAGGGAGGCCAAGGTGGGGGCAGGGGGGGGAGAGTGTGGAGG